ACCATAATTCGTATTAAAGAAAGAATAGATCTGGAAAACAGCTCGTTTGTGAACAAATCAACACCTTAGTATTGCAGAAAATGAATAAAACTGTGAGAGTATTCATGTTCTATTTAGTTATTCATTCTTGTAATAAAGATGCAGCAAAACAAGAAGCGTCCGGCCTCTCAGTCTGATGCATAATCCCCTCCTCATTCCGCGCTACTTCGCGATTTTTCACGCTGTCCCACAGAAGAAGAAAAAAGTGTTAACGAGGACATCAACAAGTTTCCGATTTTGCGATTCGGCGGAGGTGCATCGTTAAGGGCTGCTGAGAAAAAATCCTCTGTATGGTGGAGAGATGGAAGCTCTCTGCGTCTGCGAGGATACTCTTTCAAAAAGCCCGAAAATTCATACGAATGACGCGAATATGCTCGCTTTCTTTTTGTTGCCACTATATTATAATTCCATTCAGAGCTGAGCTTCTACGGGCAGAAGACGTATTTGAGTTCGGATCTTTGACATCTCGAAATGTATTTTGTCGATTTTCTGAACCTCTGGGCGAGTTCTACCGTTGATTGCCTCTGGGCGAGACCTACTGTTGATTGCGCCATGAACTCGAGGCCTATCTTGAATGGTTTCATTTGAATGTATGGAAAGCATAATGAAGGATGGCGAGAAAAAACTCCTTCGTTTCTGAAAGTGAAATAATCATGCCTCACTAAATTCGAACTCAGTTGGGAATGAAAAGGCACCTTCAAATCTATTCCCAACTTCATAACAGCTTTCTACACGGGCGACATTGAGTGAGTCTACCACAAAACGGTGTGAAGTTCGAGTTCGACAAGGTCGCCAAACGTGGACCCATTACGACGTTGTCTGGGAGGGACGTCGGTGGGGTCTCTCATATTCGAAGCTAATGTACCTATAAAACTGTTCATATGTCAACCTGTTGAAAGTATGGAGTAGCAGCTTCAGGCTGGAGCAATTTCCGAAAGTCTTCTTGAGCCTGACGGTGGTGGCGAATGATTCATATTCCGATAACGGTGGGACAGTGAATAGATCTTGGTTCTAGAGGGGCACAGGAGCATTTCGCCACAAGACTTCATCAACGCGGCACTCTGTCCAAGGGACACTTTGTCGACGTGCACACGGGCAAAGATACTTGTTGACCTAACAACATAAAGTTTTAGCCTTGCGAATTTCAGCTACATAGAATGTATATTGTTTGATTCTGAAGGAAAAGTTTCCAGTCTTCCGTTCAAACTTTGCATAGATTTTATATTTAGGAAATGCACTGTAAGGTAGGAGCACATATCAAAATCCATGTTGCATCCTGTGCGCGAAAAAATTTCGCAACATTCTAAGCCACGACAATATTTTGTTTTTTATGCGCTCCTTCAAGCAAACAGTGCCAATAATAGTACTTTGCGTTCGCCTAGAATCGTTGAGGTGCCTCTCGTAAGGTGGACACGATGCCTTCGGTCAAAGTGACAATTCATCGCCTCACTCACTACTTTTACATCGTTTCAGAACACTCGAAATATTACACTGAGCTGCTCGTAAGATATGCCGTCGGAGACGTGTGCCTCATATTTTACATGAATGATAAGCGTATTTTTCTCGTCTCACACCTCTCACACCAAGTTTTCCCGGACCATGAAAAGCAGTATAAGAGAGGTCACCAAGTTTTTCTGTTTAAAGTGTTGAGTTTGTGAGGTAAGTCACAGAAATTGTTTAAGGGAAAGGCCATTGTAGAAACCAAGCAGCTCGAGGCACACAAAAGCAAGTCTATTTCATCAAACAACCCAACTGTGAAACAAATTATCGTAATAGCGAACACTAGTCTTATGACAGACTTATATGTATGTATTCTCAAGCCAATAACCTTTTATATTATTTCAAACTTCATGATTAGGTGTTGTCTTTACTGATATCACAGCAATAGTCCTCATTGAGTTCGTTCCACGACGAAGTCCCAGCAGTGTGAGAGCTTCCTGTTGAATTGTACGGTTCAGAAATAGGTAGACGAAAGCAGGAAAACCTGCAATGAAACAGCTAACAATATTGGGAGAGTATCTTTTTGAATCATTTTTCAAAAACCCTTTCGGTTTAAGTTTGCTTTGTAAATGACGAATAAAATAGATATTGATAATTCGCTTTGTCCACATGATTCAAAAATCAAATCACGCCACAAAGCCACGAGGATTCCTGTTGTGGAGAATGGTCAGTGCCTCCGCTTTGGTCAAGCTCACTTGATTTCTTTCCAGAGCACAATCCGTACGTTCACGTGCAGCAGTAAAAAAAGACTAAGGGAACGAAACGGAGCCCTTGTTTTCGCCGCTAATTCCCGCACTGGTATAGTCTTATCGGTGTTGACATCACCACGTGAATGTTTTGCTCTGCCTCTCTGGCTGAAACGGCTACGCCGCGAAGTTCCGAAAGCTGAAGTAGCCGATCGGTGGACGGGGACAGCTGCGAAAGGAATCCACCCGCCGAGATGGGGCCTTTATGCTGCTTCGAGCGCTCTTCGCAGCGCCTTCTTCCGCTTTTTTACGAAGAGGCCTGCCTCCTTTTTACTACATGTATTTTCTAGATCCCTTGAACTTCAATCTGTCGTATAAAACTGCCTTTGGGTAATGTATGTCGCGTATCATGTAATCATTACATATCCTTGAAAATTCAATCATTCACAATGGAAACCTTCGAGAAGAATACTTTCGAATTACCGTACCATGACCTAGTTGCCAGCAAATGTGTCCTACCACAACGAAATATGCCGGTGTTGGGAAGAAATTCATGTATACGTAGATCAATGCCGCAATAAGATTAGAGACACAGATCAATGACGTTTGCAAGAAAAACTGAAAAGGATAGAAATAGAATTCCAATCAGAACAACATTTATTTACATCACTTATTCGCATTTCAATACAATCGAGATGGTGCCCGTTTTCGCTTATAAAGACGTGTGGGACAAAGTTTATTTTGTGAGCGCCGCTGTGCTCCCGTGTCCCTAACGGTCCATGTGGGTTGCCGGCAACATGAATGTGTTGAGAAGTTCGACATGTACCTGAGTGGTTGCCTAGCTTTAACATCCCATGACGATGCGTAGGATGTATTGAACATTACTAATCACCATCCACTGGCACTTCAATCCAGCCAAATTAATGACGCGAAGTCTGTGGCAGGTCTGACCAAGGTGTTGGTACCCCTGTCGAAAATAATGCTATCGCTGAATTTTTTTATCGCTGAGATTGGAATTGAGTACTGGTTCAGGCCGAGCAATGCACTCAGCAACACTCAGCATCATTTAATTGGCTCATTTTCAGGCAGTTTTTGTAGCTCGCATTCTCCACTCAACAAAGAGATGTTGAGATGGAACACGTAAATTAAATAAGGGCAAGGACAACAAGATTAAGTAGCCTGAAGAATAAAGGAGTCAGTGATACATTGGCTCCAATAGTGGACAAAAGGACGCTAATAACGGAACGTCCACCCAGTTTTGTCCTCTAATAAACTCATAAGTTTAATTGCAGAAAGCGCCCATTTGAACAGGTGCAACTCGCTGTCGCTCTGAAAAGATGGAGGATCTAAAACGGAACTCACTGATTTCTGTGCCCATGTGAGTCCAGTGCTCGCTTTAGAGTGACGGAATAAAACTCGAGAATACTGCACATACAATAGGCAAGTGAGAATTACGATAAGTAGATTATTAGCAGTGTGAGGGTAGTTGAAGAACTAGAAATGGAATGAAGTGAGATCCAAGTGAAAGCCAAGACTTGAAATATTGGTTTGAAACTTCAAATCTCGGTTTGTAGTAACAGCTCGTAGTACAGTGAGGCCATGAGTTTTGAAAGTGGAATTTGCCATTCGACAATTTGAATGAGCGACAATTGGCAACCAATCGAAAGTCTGATAACAACTTTTGTTTGTGTACAAGTGAAAAATTCAAAGAGAGGGCGAAAGGTCAATGTTCTCATCTTGACTTTCCAGAATCTTTTGTAAAGATAAGGCACTACGTACGCTCAAGGAAGAAGCTGCCACAATCATTCGAACGCATGTCCTATTTTATTTTGAAAAGCGGATTCCCCTACATGACAGTTCGTCTCCCCTGCTTCCACTCTGTCGCAGAGTCCTCGTTGCTTTTATCGATGGCTTCGTTCAAGAATATCCCTCGGATGCGATCTTCTTTACTATGTGCCCGTCCCTTCGTGTTTATCAATCACTCAAGTCCAAGCAAATTCACTACACAGTAAGTCCTTGATAAGGGCACACGATACTTTATGAGTTACAGGCTTGCCGATTTGTTACGAGAAGGATGCAGTGTGAGCTAATACATATTTGGTTATCAAATATCGGGTGTGCAGGAAGCTTTGATGCTTTTTTTTTCTAAATTTGCATACTTTCTACCCTTACGGGAACTAATCATAATCGTACGAATAGTAGTGCGGGTCTGCTAATAAAGACAACTCGGTGATGCCATTGGTTGAGAACCCGACAGAAGACCCGTCGCATGTCGAGAAGACAGCGACGACCTTGGTCGACGGGCAAGGGTGTTGCTATATGATGCTAAAAGTGTTATAAAGTGTCATTAATGATTACTTACAGTACAATGTGGCTTCATACGTCGTTTCACTGCACGATACGCTTGGCGACCCGTACGCTGAGCTGGTCTGGCGACGTGACCTCCTAGTAGAAATACATCATTTGTTGGAAAGGGAGTGACTTCTGAAGATAACAGGGCGCTAAATGGTCGTTTCTTGAGAGCCTGCCAGTCTCCGAAGAGTGTATAACGAGAGGATGATTAGAGAGCCAAACAATACGCATTCGAAAAAAAATCGATGCTCGCAATGCTCACAACTCAAAGCATTGAAGGTCACTCTGTTGATTCTCGTAGCAAGTGGTGAAGCACTACCTTATCGCCTCACTTTCGACCCTCCTTATCAATTTCAGCACAAGCGCAACTGTATCGTGTTTGTATCCAGCCTCTTGAGCCAGTTATCTAGTTCTAGAGCGATTATCTCATCGTGCCACTAATTGCAGTTGAGCAAGGAAGCGCTGAGCATCGTATTTGTTTGAATGTTGTCTAGCACCGTTCTCACTGCGATTTCAGAGGAGTTGGGATAGATTTCTATACAGAAGCTGCAGAATCATTGGAAACCCTAAAAATTTGTGAATATTACACAATCATGGAAAATCTTGGATCTCAGCCTGTATCTCACCACATCTACAAAAAACCTATACTTTCAGGCATCTAGCTTATTCGTACCGCGTTCCATGTTTCGTTGTACAAGAAATTTTCCACTTCCCAAGCAGCGGCAAAATCATGAAACACCCCCTCAGAATCTCCTCACGGTTGGATTTCCTGACCCCATTAGCAACGATTGCAGCCCTTACTCGGCGTACGGCAACATTGAAATTACCAGTTTTGCTCCGCACACTACCGCGTGCATGACACGGAAGGGCTCCGTAAAGCTGGCCAGCCGGAGCGTTAGGTTCCGCCGCTAAACAATGAAATGCGTTAGCTGGCCTTCTACAGAATGCCCATTTTTAACCAACCGTCTGATACGCGCGGTGGAGTGCGGAGCTAAAGTGGTGTCTGTAAACAGCCACCATGCATTGGATGTCAGGATGATTTAGCGGTCGAATAATATTGATGCCAATGATTTTGCAATAGAAATACCCATTATCGTATATCGCTAAACATCCATCATACATTCTTAGGGACTTTGGGAATTTAGCGGTCGAACGGTATTTTATGTTGATGACAACAACGCAATGAGATGATACTGAAGTGAAATGCGTTATCTAGAACCACGGTTTTAAGCGATCATATGTTCCCACGTGATTATCGGCCCTTATCACCTCCTGTACCCCACCGAACATGTTCCCGTCCCACTGTACATCACTTCTTGGAACCAACGCCCCACTGCTGCTGGGACGCGCGCTATGAATTTCGTGAAATTTGCGTTTCAGCGCCTCTTATCAGATCTTATCAGTCGTTATCACTTTCTGAACCCCACCAAATATGTTCCCGTCCCACCCCCTACACCATACTCAAAATACAGCGCTCCATGCCTGCAGCGAAGCGCGCTATGAATTTCGTGACAGACGGACGTACGTACAGACACACACACACAGACAGACATACTTAGCGAATTATATATAGTAGGATGGTTCGGATTGCTTTTCTCCCCTTCGGAGATGAAAGCCAGAATTTGGTTTCATGCTCTCTTGATGGCTCCATAACTAGGACTGCAGCCATATTTAGGCTCAAAAAACCGCAGCTAGGTGTCCTAAACATCCTACTATTGTCATAGGTATGAACCTCCACAAGGGTTGGCGCAAAACATTGAACGAAACAGCATACAAAATCATAACATGCGCCCTGCCTGTTTCAGCCCACCACAGAAAATAAATGGATATAGAATTCTCCGAAATCACTTCACTTAGCGTGGAGTCACGGAAAGCATGCTGCATTGTTCGTTGAACATGCTGATTGGCTAGAGAAAAGAAGTTCAGCGGAAACTGGGCCTCATGCTTTGTTTTTGTGAACTTCTCAACCTCTCGTCATGATGGTGAGGATTTTGCTTTTCTATCCTAAAATCGCATTTCTTCTGAGACGATGAGTTCAACTTTGGCTCAAATAGGCGACGCTGTTCCTCAGGAGAGGAATGTACGTAAAAACTCGACAAAGTTTGTGGTCAATGTAATTCCTTTTACTGTCCCAAGATGAAGATGATGCGTGACCTCATCCCAGTCCTGACTGAAGTTTTTCCTCAATTAAATGCGAAATAGGCAGAAAAAAGGCAACATGACATCCCGAGAGAAATGAAACCATATGCTCCTTCTTTTCGCATTAGATTCGAATGGCCATTTTTTCGAAAAGTAAGCCCCGGCCATGCTAGTTCAAACGCAACTAAGCCTAACGGTCGAGTGGTTGAAAACAAATACTTTGTCACCAATGTCTGCGTGAATGCTCACAACATCATCAATATTTCGAAGTGGATGTAATGGATTCTGGATTGATAGGCACCACTATGTCTTATGTGAAAGGATTTGTGGAGGGATTTCTCGGTTGAAATGTGGTCATTCCGCGAATGGGTTACCTTTGAAATAATGAATAGTCAGATTCCGCACGATCTGTGTTTTCCAAGTTCCGAAAGAGGGTTTCTATAATTTTGCAGCGGCTTTAAAGCTAAAAAACATAATACAAAAAGATGGGAAAGGTAATTGAGTGAGCCAGTGAAGGCTTCTTGTAGATGTGGTTCTGATAGTTCGATAAAGTTCCTCTCGCGGATGGTGAAATGATCAGAAGTGTGGAGATGTCTTATGATTCTGCAGCGCACTATATTCTAATGTTTTATCAATGAAGGTTAAGTCATTAATGTGATCAAAAACAATGAGACGCCATAAAAAAGGTGCTCTTTCAATTGCAGGATCCTAGAAGCAATCGTCCCCGAAAAAATCTTGCATTCTTTTACAATATAAGCACGTCAGTTGTGATTACTGAAAACAAAGACAAAGTTTCACGCACGAAGGCCCATTTTTTGAAAAGGAGCAAAATTCCAAAACCTCCCGTATAGCGGTCGAGGGGGGGGGAGGTCGGAAGGAGCGCTCAGAAAGAAGTGCGCCATGAGGTGCTCATGCGCATCGGAAGAAACGGGTAAGAGCGGTGTTTTGAGAATAGAAATAAAAATATCGATTGAATAGGATGCAGGAAAAAAGAGATTATTGCAATAGGTGGAAAGGGTCACGAGTTCCTAGTGAAGGCATTACGTGAATCAAGTGGAACCGTTCTCGGCAACATTTCCGACAGATGTACGGCGGGAATTCAAACCCGTGACAGTCCACTAAGGAAATGGAATGGTACCGACCTTCGTCTAGTACGCATTGTGCGCCAGTGTGCATAACGACGATCTTCGCAATAACCGCTTAATCCGCACTGCCCGCGCTATCCGCAACGTCTTCTACGATGCAAAGTATGAAAGCAGCCTCAAGGCGCAGTATGTTTTGTCTCTTGAATGAGAAACCCTCACTGTGTGAGTGAGCATGGCCAGGCCAACGAAGTCATGGAGGCCGGAAGTGCATCGGTAGCTATATTACATGAAGCCTACGCAGTGTCCATTATTCAATATTTCCCACACTGCACACTCATGGACGGTAAATTTTGCTTCAACCTTTTTCAATCAGTTATTTTGTTTTTACGCTTCATAAATTTCAAGCTTTCTTTGCTTTGTCATAGATATGAGTAAATCATATCTCGAGGAGACTCACCTTGTCGATATCATGGCCATCAGCAAATGTGGCGAAGAACCATGCCATGCGATCCGAATTGAATATAAGAGGAGGTGTGAAAAACGTGAAATAAAACAAATAGAAAAGAGGAATCAGCAGAACAACGAAGGTACGATTGCCTTGGAACAGCTAAATGTCAAACTCTTCAAGTGCGCGCTGGCTGCGAGCGTCACTGTTTTGGTTGAAGAATTTGGATGGACTGTGAATTGTGGAAATGGAAGCGCCCCTAGGGTTGCTGCGCGTTTTGAAAGTTAAAAGCTCGAGCCGTGTCGACATTTGGAAGCATGCGGATCCTTGAAAGAAGAGCTGCACAAGACGTAGTGTAACAGGCTCGGGCGCTGGCCAGCGGGTTAGGGGGGGGGAGGGTGGGCCGTGAGCTGTGCTCATCCGCGGTGTTTTGATGCGCGAGAGAGAGAGTGAGGTTGCACGTTTCAACGGTAACGCCATGAGACAATGCGCCTATCTATCTGAATGACCGCTGGCAGTAGATAGTTCACGGTCGTCGAGGTTCCTGCGTAAATGAGAGTGTACCGTCTGACTTCAATTGTGGGACTAAAAGCGGGTTCCTTTGGCAGTAATAAATTTTCGCATATTGTGAGGTGGAGGAGAGAACGATAATACCTAGGCATTAGGACGCACCATTTGCATAACATTTCTTACCTCAGAGAGTCAAGCGTAGATCGATTTGATAAATCCAACAACTGATCAGTTCATTGCATACAGCACAACAGGCCTGAGATTAAGTGATGCAATTTTGTGACCGGCGTGACACTGAAGTATTAAGTGATCAATTTTGTGGACAGGTGTGTTACAATAGCGCCTGTGAGAATGAAGGGAAGTTGAGCTTTGAACTTTTTAAACAATTTATGACCCTCGCGCCCCTCCACTTCACCACCACCTTCACCATGATTGGTGATTCTATAGTTTGATTCTGCGGCCAGGCAACACGCTCCAGAACGACACATCTTTTCTCTCCAGAATGGCGGTCGAGCGGGGAGGGAAGAAACGGAGTGAGGAATATATCGTCTGAAATGGATAAATGCACATGCACAAGTTCTCTTTTTGTGCTACTCCCTGAAGATTTTGCTGAAATCGTAGAAAATCCTGTTGAAATCTCCATAGAAATTCTTCTCTATTTTCGACTTTTGACCTTCGTCCCATATACGCCCCCCTCTCAAGATCACAAATGAGATTCCCTCCCTAAGGCTTGCACCTATGGAATGTGATACTAGTTCGGAGAACTCGAATAAAATTTCACCAGTTATCGGTGAACAGTGAAGAGATTTTGAGTGAGAGGTGATGGACTTTTGAAGCGGACGAAGACGCTGAGGCCTGAACCGTCGGAAGAAACTGCTAGATCTCCTCCTTCCAAAAACAGCAATCGCCATTTCCCTTCTCAGAACTTCACACCTATAGTTTGCGCCTTCCGAACTCTGGGTTAGCGAGATCAAAAACCAACCAAGTGCTATAGATCCGGAGACGAAAATAAGTGTCGGACACATGCAGTAGTTGGCGCCAACCAACCATAAGTATCCACTAAGAATGGAGTTCAGGGCGATTGCACACATGTCGACGACACCTCAAACCACAAGTTGTAAAATAATATATCATTGCTCACGGATTTGCACCCTGATAAAGATCCCTTAGATGCAAAGTACTTTGTATTGTTCATCATTCTGTTATGAAAACCCGTCACTTGTGTATCGCTCTAAGTATGTGTGTATTGGGTTGTCTGTTGAATTCCAAGTTTGCGAATTAGGAGGTTCGGTCACTCTAAAAGAGAACACTTTTGTCACATTGCGTTGCATAACATTCGTAAGCATTTGTTCTGCCCTGTTTGTCCTTGTGTCTCGCTTTTATTTCATTTGGATCAATCGAATTTGAGGCTAAACTCATGAGGTGTCCAGAATCCCATATAACTCCAGGGAAACTTTCTTTTTCTTTTGAAGATAAGGAAATCATACATGCATTTCGAAATTTTAAGTCGAAAAAGTTGGAGATCTCAATTTCGAGTTGCGAGTGACCATCGTTTCTCTGCTCAAGGGCACGGAACAGATAGATGGTAGTCGGATGGAGCCAGGTATGGCGAATATGATGTGCGGAGAAGCACTTCCCATCAGAGTTCAGTCAAATCGAGACAAGGTTGCGCGACGTAGAGACGAAGCGTGGACTTGAAGAAGCGTTATTGTTCACGTTTCGAACGTCGAACAGGGATCTGCAACTATCGGAGGCCCGCAGATGCGTATAAGCTATAAGCTAAGCGATCACGACGTGGGGTCCGTAGCAAGTTAAGCTTTGAATCCAAGTCATCAGCAGAGGCAAAACCTTCTCTAGTGTAGTTCACCGACTCCGTCTGTTTGGAAGGGGGCTACCGCGAAGGAGCACTAATGCGGCGCATGGTTCACACAAAAACCCAGCTATCGTCTCTAGTAACCATGCCATTGAAAAGATCCTTCAGTGGGGGGCGCAGAAGCAATGAAGTGCTAATCCTTGACGCTTTGTCGGACTCAAATGTAGTATTGTCACTCGGAGATGCAGCAGTAGATTGTGCCAGGATTGCGCAAAGGACCTGTCATGGCAGCGGAAAAGGAAATTTTTGTCCGATGAGTAGAGCATTACATGCTTTGACGGTTTGGTAAAGAGCTTACATTACTGCGATCTATCGGGTAGCCCGCTATTGAACCATGTGACATATACAGGGCGCCGCCAAATGTATGAAGGACTGCGTGCAGCCGCGTTCTTCTCCGCTTTTTTCGACTTCCTCCATCTCATTGCATTTTCGACTGTGGGCTGTCTTACTATTGAAATAAAATATCATGCAGTTCTCGGAATTATTGACGAAACTAAATTGCAATACGCCAGACTTCAAATTGAACTCGCTACTTCACTTTAACGCAGCAGGGAAGCTCGTATAAACAACGGTCGAATTCTTCATTGAGTTTAGGAGCAACGTGACAGAGATGAGAAAAAAAAACTAGTAATTTGACTCACAGTACTGTCGCCCACCCTGTAGAGGGTGCGCTGCAATTCTCCAGACAGTTTCAACTGCTTTCTTGCGTTCCCACCTCGCTGGTGCTCATGTGCATGGGTTACAACGATCACTCATTTCACAATGATAACGCCATATTGGTGGAGGGTTTCCAAGGTGGGTATTATTATAGCACAAATGGAAGGGTTATGTTGTGTAGTTTGAGATTGTAACTGCAATAGTGTATTTTGCCTATGCTCTGAAAATACAGTCGCTCGGCGAAAGCGGGTAACCCGATTGGTAACGTTAATGCAACAACCCCGAATCAAATCGAACAGTGGCCGTGAAAAATATGGATGATGAACTGCCGAGAAGGAAAAAAATGAAAAGCGAATAATCGATAGCACATTAAAGGAATCTTCCACGGACCATGGACCAGTGGGCGGGACCGGAAGTTTTTGTGACGAAATGCATGGTAGGTACGGATCCACGTGTCGAACGCACGAACGTGAACAGGATTCACTTCAAACCTTCCCATGAACGTGGATCCGTACCTACCATGCATTTCGTCGCAAAACCACTTCCGGTCCCGCCCACTGGTCCATGGTCCGTGGAAGATTCCTTTAAAAAGCTTCGTTGGAAAAGGCAAGAGCGTGTCCAAACGAGTTTTTGCTACCCATTTGGATTTGAGTACGACGCTATGCCGTAATCTCCGTTGCATATCATGGGGGTGACCGCGGATCTTGTGAATTAGCTCACATTATCAATATCTAGCTAGATCAATAGCTCACTTTGTTAGGTGCCACTTTTGAGCTGGACAACAACACATCTCCAATTCTTGGAGGGGGGGGGCTACTCAATCATACCCACAAAATATGTAGTTCTGCGGACCTCATCTTGTTGCTTCAAATGCTGGCAACTACGGGACCTACGGGAAAAGTCTTATTACAAAGTCCTCATAATAGTTTTCTTCTGGCTAACTTCCTTTGGCGATGTTTGCTAGTACTCGTATTATGAAAAAAATCTGTAATTGGCACCTAAGACGATCATTATCTTGTAGCATGACAGACGACGATGTTGTCTCCTCACCATTATCGTCAGGACTATCGCGTAGATGAGCTGAATGTAACAATAATTAGAAAAAAACACACCGAGAACATCAATTCATGCGAATTTTTTCATTGCTACAGCAACAAGAATACTTTTGAATATTCTCCCATCAGAAATTCTTTGTGTACGATAGGATCTTTTGACCCTCTTCCAGATGTAATCCAGATCGAAATGCTCCATATTTTTCGCAGATCAGGTACTTCGAAACGAGAGGGATCATTGCGTTATGAACAGTGCCACAGTCTACCACTAAGAATACTGAACTCTAACAAAGAGGTAGGACAAGTTCAAAGCTCAGTCCGTTCCTTCGTTTCTTTTTCGGTTTCAGAAAAGAGTTGCGCTCAAAAATGGTAGTGATGGAGCTGCCTAGATAGGGTGAAATCTCTGTCAAATATCGGTTTTAGCTTATATATACTGCTCTCCTTCGAATACTTCCAAAGAAGCAACATGATCAAGTGTAAAATATTATCAGTAGAAGTTAGTGTCTCTTGCGTACAACTATAGAAAGCAGCGCTCGCTTATGAATGCCTTCAAGTGCTATAATGGAAATAAAGCTTCCCAGGTTTTTCCGCATTTCTCGATCAATCAGGGTAAATTCTGAAGTAGATACTAAACGAAGTGAAAAGACAAAAAAGACACAGAAGGTAACCTGCAGCAGTAGAGGGAGACAAAAGGAAATCGACCATGTGCTCGTAGAAGGGTCACCCCAACACTGTGGACGATATCTAAGGTACTGCGTGACAGAAGGCTTGCTCTTCAATATAAACCCCTACTGGCAGACATTGCTATAGACCTTCCAGAGAAGACAAGGGTAAGAACCGAGAGGAGAATCCGGTGGTGGAAGTTGCACCAAGCGGAGAAGGATGACCTCAGGCGAAAGATAATGGAAGCTGGTCTCCCAGATCCTAACGGGCCAGTACAGCGGTGCTGGAAGGATCGCGGTGAGTTTACCTAAAATGCGTCAAGGAAGTACTGGGCGGGAAGCATGATGGGAATCAGCGAGAAAAGGTAGTGTGATAGAAGAGGAGGTCCATCAAATCGTGAAGAAAAAACGACCAAATCCGCTTGACCTTCCTGTCTGCAAAACGTGCAAGGGGAACGGCAGGGTAGCCGTAGCAAAAGTGGAGCACAAGGAAATGGACGCCCTGAGGTTAGCATCTAACCAGCTGAGGTGTAGTGTCGGGTTATCCAAGACGCCAAGGTGGTAAAGAATCAGAGTGTGGCGCTGCCGATTAAACAACCCAAGTACATATGATGCAACGCAGTGGAAGAACTACTAAGGGATTTTTCCATGAAGATTCGATGTGCAAGGAGCTCACCACAGGACCAACTGCTTTATTGCAGCACATTTTGTCTGCGGTGATTTGGTTATTCCAACAGAAATCATTTTTGGTGTAGCAGCACCCGTGCGCGATCTTGAGGATCAGGAAAGCAGCTTCGACCTAGTCACGATAATTAGATTCAAACCTCTGCAGTGACTCCGTAGATAAGTGACCAAGCAGCAAGAATGATTTTTCCAGTGCCACGTCGACGTACTGTGCCTCTGCAAAAAAGTCACATTGCAACGAATGTTCCCTCTAGAGAAAGAGACAACTGAAGTATGATGAAAGAGGTGGTCCATTTATTAACAAAAAACTTGGTTATGTGCCGTCAACCCATGCATAGCTAATCTAGTGTATTTCGGCCGTTCGGGTTATAAAAAAGAGGGAAAAAAAAAAAACCCAACGTTCTCACTGGCATTCTGGACTCCGGACCAGCCCAAGATTGAATGGTGACTAATGCCGACCATTAATTGCGAATGGAAATAGCCATTAGTGGCTATAAGTAAAAGTAGAGAAAGCCTGCTTCTTTCCTGTTTAGAGGGTTACTTAATGGCTACTTCACGATCAGCTCCCGATGTACAGAGACATAAGCTGACGAAATGATTGCAACCTTAGGTGGCTCGCAGTCCTTTATCAAGATGGGGACAAATGTTGCATGAACACCGGAAATCAACGCCTTGTCATAATTCCCTCGAGAGCGGGTGAAATGAACAATTGACCGTCTATCTTAGTCCAACCCTATGCAAAATAAATCTTCGCATTTACGACGCAAAGACCAGCTCTATCTATCGCATTTGATAATTTTATCATATTCTTCGCGCCTTTGCAGTCTCGCCCGTTATATTTGTTTGTTGAACTTACTGTCATCTTAGAATTGTTCTTCCCGAAGTTACATGTCGATCTAAATGTGTATTAAACAATGTGAGACTTCAAAATTTATTGCAAAAGACTCAAAACTTTCTACAAAAGAAATTGCAAAAATGTGTTTTGCAGAAGTTTTGCAAAAGTTTTGGCCTTTGCGAGCTTTCTACCCTTTAACTGTGTTCAGGACAATCAAGAATCGCAAGCTATTACCTGCATGCACAAATCTCACTTGAAATATGAGGAAGATAAATGCACTAACAAAGAGCGTCGACGACGAAAGGGTTTGCTTAGACACATGCAGTATTTGCCTTCTATTATTTTTCGAAATACCAGCTTCCAATATTTTGGAAAGATTGCCGGGGAGGTTCCACACAGAAGCGCCGTACGGATAGCTTATAATTATGGCGCTCCGGCTGCGGCTCGCCCAAAGTTTCCGATTTCACTTGCAGCTTTGTCTCTTTGTCTTTGTAAGTGTGTTTATTCCGTCTCATATCTATTCAATCACAATGAGCTTTTGAATACCGTTCTCTTCGCTTCCCGCCAGGATATGATCATTTTTGTTCTGATAATCCACCAGAGCCCGCACTCCTTTTCGAGTTACCTAGATCACCATTGTTAAGATCAGAATTCCTGCGATTATTATTGTTGGTACCAGATGTGAAGCGTGACCTCGTTGATACCAAGAGGCACGCCCAGATACTGCAGCATTCTACTTTATACATTCTGACACTGAACACCTTTGTGAAGGTGAATAAATTCTTGTAAACCCATAATAGCTTACACAGAAGTATTCTGCGGGAGCCATAACACCCCGAGGAACCGAAGGCGCCACCCTTTTGCTTGTGAGCCACCACATTTTTTGGTGCGTCGACCATAGCCGTAACAAGGGCAGCAAAACGTCTGTCCCAGGGACTCAACCCTGATTCGCAACAATTTTGCGAAGAACAAGCGCTCTACAGCGTTATTGCTTGCTAAATTCCTTGTTGGATTCAGTATACATTTAAAAAAACTGCGCGAAAGCAGCGGAATCGTGCTATCTCCTTTGAAATTGGCATAGTCCTTTCCTGAGGAATCGGATCGAAAGCGGCTTGTGTTACTCAGTCTATATTAGCAAGTATCACTCCTTATAGACCGGCGGCTCAACAGCAGCGTTGGATTTGGTGATATTCTCCACTCTGGCAACCTACCACCACTTTATTTGCTCAGAAGCAGCGGATCATTCCCATTAATTTCACTGAACATAGCACATCATTCTTTTTTACTGAAAAATCGCTCAACAGCAGCGATACTTTGGTTCCCCATTAGCAGAACCATTCAGTAGAACATATCATATTAAACTGACATATTATGTCATCCACTTCCGCAAAACACGAATTATCGCTAGTGCATCAACACTACCCGTGCTTCTTCATAGGTATCAACGTTATAATGAAGATGTGAACTACGCCGAAAATTCAACGGATGCACAGGAGAAAGGACAAATCACATACGCTTGTTAACAACAGCATTATCCAAAATAAATACCGCTTTATGAACCTCCAAAAAGGAATTGATGTGTTGGAAAACCTACATGACAAGGCAAAAGATGATAGAAAGATATTTTATTCCAGGTTCCAAAAAGTTGGCGAGTAGCCTCATTATTGAAAACACAATGGCTGATGACGAAATTTTAGTACGTGAACTCGAAGCACAATTGGCTTTGAAAAACTTGAACGTAAAGCATATACGTTTCCTGCCGTATTGGTCCAACGAAACAGAAAGGACCGTATTCAATACTGCCATAAGGGTGTTGCAACGGAACAGGCACCACAGCCATATTGAAATCTGTGTCTTACACACGCGAGAAAAAATTGTACTAAGAAAAGGAGTGAATACAGGCCTTGAAAAGTCACAACATCACGGTATTAGTGAGCAGGAATGAGGAAAATAATCATAATCATCCTAAAATAATCAATTCTCGAGTCAGTGTTGGCATCGTAAGCCTGCGATCGGCCAAAACCAGGAACGTCTGTTCTTTAAAAGCATTGCAGTTAGCCTCAGCGTTAATGTGATGCTCACCATTAAGCAATTTGGCATACGACAAGAGATTCAAGCAAAACTTCATGACCTAAACACTATCCGATCGATTTGAAGGAGTGACGTAAGCCAGCTCAGTGAAAGAAATAATTAGTTTGGCCGTTCTATTCGTTATGGAGAAATCTAACCACTACTCCAAGCGAAAGAATGACACGGCGCTAGACCGTTCCATGAAGATGCCAACATCTCATGTGCATTCCAATCAGACCATCTTCATGTCTTCATCAGCGTAATCCTCCACCTTCATATGAAAAAAAGAAGCAAAAACAGCGATTTTGCATAGGCGTAGTTATTCCTTTTGTTCATTTTTTTCACCCTTCAGTATTCTTAACTTTGCATATTTTTTTTTACACCGACCTATCTAAATATTTGAAAAAATTTGCATAGGGTGTGCAACCCATCCAAGACTAGTACATAACAGGGTTGGAAGCTTCTAGGGGAATGAGCCTAATTCACTAGTTCTTCTACTAACCTTTGCATTTCCTTCATTTACGAAAGAAATGAGCACACCTTCAGCGCGTCAATGCGTTGCGCAATGTACGTGACCACAGCACGAACATAATGATTCACGCTTCCTTTGAGTGCTCACCGTGTACAAACGGCTTAAAGGCAAGATTCGGGATAAAATAGGTGTGGAAAAGCGTTCAGTTATGAAGCTAGAGGTGGGAGGTGGTCTGTAAAAGAGAAGGAAAGCAAACGAAACCACCGATTACGCCCCGTACAGAGACCTCCCTATTTCAGCCGCATTCCACCTTGGGATAGAGAAGGGGCGCGTTGGACGAGTTTCACGAACCTAACTCTAGTTGCTCCAGTGCCAATGACATTGGGTCGCAATGGGACCGCTGCCTCAAATGCGCCCGCGCTTTTCAAGCAGCGCCACGTGGCAACCGACAGCGGAGGGTGGGGCTTGCGGACGAAGGTGTGAGTTGCGGGTTGGACGAGCTCCTTGCGCCTTTGTCGCGCACTTTCAAGCGGCAAAAGGGGCGCGACATCAACGCTTGTCCGCCTGTCTACTACCCCGGGATGGAACAGGCGAGCACGCCTAATCCCGGAGCGTGCCTTTGAATCAAGCTTGAGCATTACAGTGGCTGTGACGCAGTATTACAAACTAGCTCCGACATTAGATGTTGTACAGCTTCGACGGCTTTGCAGCGACGAAAACTCTTTCCGATCGAGTGAGTGAAACAAAATCAGCTGGCTACAGTGGGTGCAACTGCTACGATTCTGCTGTGGATGAAGAAAATGGGAAAGTTATAAAGAGAATCAGCACCCAGGCCCATTCGTCTGAAAGCTCTTACCTCTTGATCTCCAGGTCCTGATGGAGATACACATCAGGGGAAGAAATTTTGAATCTTAAGAGCTGTAGTTGGAATGAAAAGTGGAGAAAATACTGAAAGGTGTAGAAAAAGAAATAGACCCACTTCCGCCTCAACTTTATCCTAGAAAATGTAATAGAAGAGCAGGTTCTGTGCAAAAATCGCCGTTATTGTTCCATATTTTTGAGGCGTGGACTGCGGCAGCCGTGACCGTCCAAGGGCAGCGGTCAACCGAAAGGCTTGGTGATTCAGCGTTTTGTAGTGTTCTCTGGGCACTCTCGCATATGCACACTATTACAGCATCTCTGCTTTCTTTCCTTCCTTCAAAAGGCTTAGTCCTAGGGAGCAGAAAGTATGTGCTTTTCTGTCTGGACTCTCACGCGTTGGTTGACCGCTGCCCCGTAACCATGTGTGACGTGAGCCCGGTGCAAGATGTTCGTTGGTAATAGGTTTTGAGAACTGAAAAAGCGTTTCCCTTTCGAAAGTGAACCGTCTGGAGGAAAATTCAGTCGAAATTGCGAACTGAAAAACGATCAAACCCTATCTGAAAGCAGAAAGAATGCATAAAGCTCACTTGACTGAATCGAAAAGAGACGGAATAAACAGTACGGCCTGAACAGCGGAGACAAGCTGCGAAGGAAAGTGTAAAGTTGGCGAGTGCGAGTAGCATTCATAATTATCAGCCATTCTCACGGTGTGTGGCCTTCCTGGCATTTGCCAAAATTGGTATCCGTTTAATTTTGACAAGTTCCTGGCGCAAATGGAATGGGTTACAGGAGTTGGGTTGGGACAGAACACTCATGGGAGATAAATACTACATGTGCCTGAACAAACCTCCTTGTCGTCGACACACTTTGTCAACGTATTTATCTTTATCGTATGAAAATATAGGTGACAACGCCATGATCACTGAGCAGCTCAACTGCAGCAGAACTTCGCGCAAATTTCGTCGTGTGCAGAGATTCTGGAGAACTGTTCAGCGTTGTAGCAATTTTTCGGGCTCCCGTACTAGTGTAAGTCCCGCACAGCGAGCGCTGCGACCTCGTCCGCTGGACCTTGCGGTCTTGCCGCGCGACGGGTCTCTTGTCGAATGCCCCAATTTTTCTGAGGCTTCAACCGGCTCAAGGAATAATTTACGTTGCAGTGATCGATATAATTCTGTTGTTCTCTTTCATGCATTGTGGAATAGAAGCCAAGAGAGTCCTGATTGCAGGGTGATCGTCTACAAATTTTTCACTGTATCCAGAATTGATGACCCTCAATACACCGAACTTCAACTTGTTAGAAATGTAGTTTTTGTCATTCCACCTTTTCAAGACAAACCTCTCTCCAAGCGCAACACTGGCGACCCGGACTGTTCCAAGATTTCATACCTTCGTCATTCGATGCCTTGTGGCTACTTGCCATCAAGTGCGCCAGATTACTAACATAACATACCTACAATTGACCAAATATGATGGTCCAGCGCAGCTTAGGGGGTACTTTTTCAATATTGCTCCTATTAGGGATTGTAGCCTCTTTTCACTACCTTAATCGTTCCTAGAACCTAATTTATACAAGTTTGCCATGGTAGTTGTTGCAGGCTTGTGGAGACCCTGTAGCAATGTAACGCCACCATGCCTTGACGAAACCAACGAGTAATTGTTTGATAGTGAGCTTGAAGCTTGAATATTTTGGAGGTAATAAACTCTACCAAGTGAGATTGAAGAATGGGCATTAGCGCTAAAACCAAATACGCAAAAGCTACACTGAAAGCTCCATCGGTTCATGTTTGAGTTGTGTGCGGTATGCTCTGTTATCGTGTTTGTGAGCACCCTGTGGTTTGCTGAAGGCCCGTGCAAATTTCCTAGAATAATTTCTAGCACTGTTGAATTTTATAAGAAAACCGAGCGTGTACACACATCGCTCCTACGCTCCCTGCAAGGCAAAAAAAAAATAACATTAGGATTATCCAAAAAGGCTCAGAAAGAAAAATTAAAAATTCACTAACCGGCAGTCGTAATTAGTGATGTTTTCTACATTGCCGCCTGCTTCGATTAACCACTCCATGTGAGATCCTGAACGAACTACTATATTAGGTTGCCCCAAAAGTTCGTGGCACTTTTTAGAATCTCACATCAACTCAGTTCAGTGGTTTCTAAATAGTTCACGTAAGCTGTAAAAGTAGTTATTAGAAGTAACGTGTGGTTAGATCACGTCTGCCCTAGCTATTTTTTCGACTTATAGGGAAAAAAGCAAAGGTCATCTTCGTCATTTCCCATTTTCTTGAAAGCTGCAAACCAGTCGAAGAAAAAGTATCGTTTAGCTTGCGATACATTTTCCTGTTCGCATCCATTCCGCTGTACTAGGATTCTTAGATCTTCTTCACTATCTTTAGGGGACTAAGTCTTGGAAGAAACTCTACTTTACGGAGGCTTTCGATCTTATGGTTAGATTTAGAACAGTCACGGAAGGCCCCACGGAACGTGCTAAAGGTTCGCCAA